CTGCCGGCTCTTCTGCACAGCCTCTCAGTGCCCCGGCTGCTGCCAAAAACACGGGGCAGCTGTTGTGTCATAACCTCATCGCAGCCCTCTTCACAAGAAATGTAAACTAGTCGGACCCTCAGGAAGAAAGAAAACATTCTCAGCTGACCTTTAAGGGAGGGGGATTGCTGCAGAAGAGCCAGTTTGGACACATCTCAAAGAGTTCGGGAAGCAAAACACCAGGCGAAACAGCATTAGGCTCCAGCAGCTTTGCATGACTCCAGTTAATGCTCAGAGCTGGGGGAGGCCTGCTTCCCACCGTATCATCCCTCCCCATAACACCTTCATCTTCAAAAAGCACCATCTCAAGGAACAGGATGGACCTTTGACCACAGCAACAGCTGCCGAACGAGCACTGGGGTCCCGACTAGCACACACCAGAGATATTTGAGAAGTTCCTGAGAAATCCACGTGTTTGCTGGGAACTAGACTGGGGAGTAGTGCAGGTAAACGGCGGTTTTCAGCTTCTTCCCGCTGAGAACAGAATCGCTTTGTGAAAAATTTCAAGCAAAACTGAACGAAATTTCTTTTCGGGCGCTCCGTTTGGCACGTCTGAGCCGCTGTGGCACGATCTAGAATAGGGCTGTTTGTTTACTACAGTTTGAAACTGTGTCATAAAATATATATGATGTGAGTAGCCTAGAAACACACCAAGATCTCAGAGGCAGAATTGCTCTGAGCCTCTTTATTAAATGAAACATCCATTTTCTCCCAAGCAGAAATCACAACGGTATCCATCATAAAAATGATCAATAAAGCACTGGGTTGCGACTCCTGCTGCCTAGTTTAATTTTGTTATTGAAATAACGGTTTCTCAGTGCATGGAATTTCCTGGGGATTAATAACAGACATCAGCATCACAACACACCCACCCCTTCACCTTCCTTATTTATTCCCAGAAAGCACCCGCTGCCCAAACCGTAGGAACCAGGATGAGGATACTTGCTAGCAGTACGCACGCTTGCGCCCAGCTGCCTGTGGTACGACCATCTGAATCATCCGCAGGTGATGCTGAGAAGCAAAAGCTGCCATTTATTTTTTTGGGAATGATTTGGGTAGATTTCTGGGAAAGTTTTTTGAGATAATACTTTGGAGCCTGTCACATCTGACTCATTCTAGCAACCAGGAAAAATGGAGATAAGCTGCTTGCGCGGGAACCTATGGAGCAAGGTCTATTTGGGAAAGACATTTTCAGTGCACAAATTTCGAAGTGACTTGAGATTGCAGTGCTGATCTGAGGACAATTTGGGCATATGCTCTGCTTTGGTTTACCTTATACTTTTTTCTGTTGGTATTGTTCAAGTAAAAAATGGAAATAAGTACTGGGGTTTGTTGTAACTAGCCTGAAAAATGCAACACATTTAGGCAAACAAATCCACAAATGAGATCATCTAGAAGGATTAGTTTCAACTCTCTAGACCCATGACTGATGTCCCTGGTGTGTCTTTTGACATTAGCGTTGCTTTGAGAAGTCATTTCTACACCTAGACCAGAATTTCCTGACAAAACTCTTTTCCTGTTGAAAAACACTGTACTGACAAAGCTAAACTGTTTATGAGGAAAGAATTGTTCTGAAAAATGTCCCTTCTGTAGAAATGCCAGGGAGAAAAGTTTCAAAATTATCACAGAATCCCACTTCGGGTTTTGTTCGTACTAAAAACTTGACATCATCAGTTAGATAATGGCAAAAACTGGTGTAAAAACCCAAAATACATTCAAGATCAAAATCAAAGCTTCCATTAAATTAGCTAAGTGAATTGCTTAGCTGTTAGACTTAATTTGCAAATCCATTTTTAAATCCATTCAACAGCTTGTTTTCTGGAAGGGTGGAAATGGGAGCTTGCAGATGGGCAAGAATTTGTTCAGTACTGGACAATTAGTGTGGACACATGAGTCAAGGCATTGCCTTGCACAAAAACAAGTCAGTGGGAATTTCCACTGGTGGCCTTGCTGGGCATGGACTCGGCACTGTAATCCTGATCCTTCCGGAAATCCATGGCAGTCTTGTCCCTGGCTATGCTCAATTTGGGATTAACCTTTAAATGGCTCATACCTTTAGATGTGTTGAAGTGTGAACGCTGGAATCCTGAGTCTCAACCACACAGACACTTCAGCGACCTTGCAAAAATATTGTTCACCCTCCCATGATCTTCCTAGCAGATGAGAAACCGGAGCTTGGAACTGCTCCCCACCACCACCCCCTCTTGTTGTCCAGCTTGTGAATTTTATTAGCTGTCAACGTGTCAAACTTCCACTTAGCTGGACAGCTGCGTGACCAGCCAGACTCTGAGGCCTGCCAATAAAGTTTAACAGAGCTATCAGCTTTTCACGTGCAAGAGATGACGGTATGTGAACACTCAGGTATCAGAGGGAACGACTGAGACTTGGGCAAGTTCACCTTCCACATGGTAAAGCAAAGAGAGGTGAGAAGGAGAAAGAAGCAAAGAGATAAACAGGTCTGCTGCTTATTTTTGTTGAGTGCTTGCACAGCGATTAGCAAAACGGGATTGCAGTGCAGGGATGGTGTGTGTATAGGACACAGTAAGAAAGTCTGATAGCAACACCTGCGCTGCGATTCAGAGGCTCGGGTGGGATCCAGCTGTGCTGCAGACAAGTGGCACTGAGAGCCAGAAGATGGATGAAGTGATGACCAGAAGGCTGCTCTCGAGTCTCTTGTGTGACTATGGGTCACCAAATACTTCTCATACGTCTGCCTCTCGTTTTACATGTCAACATGACAAGCTTTCGGGGACAAGAGAGATTGGTAGATGTTGGCATGGCCCTTAACACCCAGAAACCCTCATCTCAGCTCGTCCTACTGTTATCACAGCCATCTTTAATCCAAAGCACGTCTCTTGGCCTTAAAAACTCTGTTGAGACAGGAATAAGACTATAAGGTGGTAGAAGGTTCTCTGCTGGATGGGTACATGTGTGGATGTGTGTGGCTTTTTTTTTTTTTTTTTCCACAAGAACTTGATTGACTAATGTTTGTAGGTCCCGAGAGCCAGTAAAAGATCTGCTCTGATATCCAGAAAATTTTACAAGGGGCGGCAGGCTTAAAAGTGGTGGGAAGAAGCTGACTCTGCCAGGATGTCGGAATGAGAAAGCCATCAGGAATGTGCCTCGGAGAACAGCTGCTACTAGAGCCCTGGCAGGAACCTCCACGCAAGCTGCCTGGGAGCAAGTAGGGGGATTCGAATATCACAGCTTGAGACAAGGGAAAGGTTCTCTTTATTTATTTATTTAGCTTTCCCTTTCTGTTTTCGCCTCCCTCCTTTCTCCCAAGCCCTGTCACAGTGAGGTCAGAGAGCCTTGGAAAAGAGAGAACCTGCCACTAGTTTTTGCACTCCCTGCCACTTCAGGGCTTTTCCGTTCCTCTCACCGCATAAAAAAGTGTTACCTAAACTCTATTCTCCCCTAAAACTCTCTTTTTTTTAATCTGTTTACCACAGAAACATCTCTTTTTATTTCCTCCTTGACATCTTACATCCATCAACAACAAGCAAGACCAATTAGAAACAGAATATGCAAAACAAAAAGGGGGGAATTTACACTTTCCAACTTTTGGTAGCTTCGTTGCCTGAATTAGCCACTTTCCCAGACTCCATCTGCCCATGAACCCACATGGCTAAAAAGTTAACGCTGTGACTGTTGAACACTCTGGCACAGTCTTTTGACTATGATCAAAACTAGAATGAGTTTAAAGTTTGCCAGATTTCCTTTTTGCGGTCTCCATAGCCACATCTTGAGGGATGATGGATTCAGGAAAATCCAGTACCTCTCAAGAGAAAGCTGGAGGGAGGTGAGAGGGCATCTGCTGCAGTGCTTGGGAAAGAGGGCTAATGGGAAAAGTCTTTAACCAGTGACCATCCCAGGTGTGGGGGGAAATGCCCGTTCCCAGACAGCTGGGGGAAAACTGCAAAAACTTCTGGCAGTTTTGGCTTCTGAGCGAGTACATCAGGCTCATTATCCTGAGAACCGCGGAACAGCAACGACAAAAAACCTGTTTTGTTTCGGAGGAGCTGGTTAATTGACTGACTTTTCCTTGTCTCAAGCCTGGAATACTCTTTC